ATTTGAAATTTTCATTGGTGATGATATGCAACTTTTTTTTAAGGTCAAGGCTGATGAGATGGCCCGAATCCCTGACTTCCAATGCTCACTGTGCCATGTTCACATACACATGTGCATTCATACACACACACACGTGTGTAAATAATTAAAAACCTCTGTTTAAAAGGTCCATTATTTAAAAAAAATGTTACCCAAGCTCACAGAGCATAGCTAAGTGATTTCTGTTCCTCTCCTCTCACTAATCTAGGCAGGCTCCTTGGAGAAGGTGAGAGGAGGTTCAGCAGAACAACTCACTCACAAACCACCCAGGCTTTGAAGCAACAGACAGGCTGAACTTTTAATATTCATCATTGCAAAAGGATGAGATTTTTTATGGGCTCTGTGTAAATTAGCAGGGAGAAATAAGCCTCCTTAGTCCCCAGAGGGAGAGGACACTCACAAGAGAAAAAGCCAGGAGGCCCCGAGCACCCACTATCAAGAACCCAGGTTACAGTACCTCTGAACAGCTTACCCAACTGACACAGCTTCATTTGAAACGACACCACGTAACCAGCATGAACCGCTCCTCACCCAAGCACTGTGTAATAAAGGCAGAAACAGAGAGCAGCTCCCGAGAGGGTGGAGGAACATCTACTTTGTGTCACCTGGGAATGGCACCCTCCTACAATCCCATCTCTTTGACAACAGTTCCAAAGTCCCCCTGTCACTGTCACTCAGCCACGAAATTAATGACTGAAGGAGAAAAGGACCACAAATGCCCAGCCCTTGAAACACAGAGGCAGAGAGGGACAGAGCAAGATAATAAATAAAACAAGAGCCTGAAGGGGAGAGCTGCTTTGTCAGAATATAAATATTTCCCTTCCCCTTTTATCTTTAATGTAGTGTGAGAAGCTTATTAAAGGGAAAGGCCTCCTGTCCCTGGAGCCCTTGCAGGAGCTCGTGGGAAGCTGCGGCTGGCCTGGCCCCATGCTTCTAAACTCTTCCCTGCTAGAAGCTAGTGGAAAGTGCAGAGCAGTCAAGAAGCTCTGGGGAAGAAAAGGGAAGCCATTGTGGCCATCAGGATCCTTATCTTGATGGGCCTGGTGTCAGGTTGTGCTAATCGCTGGAAGCAGCTGGGAGACTGAGGATGAGGAATGCCTATGTGCTCAAAGATCTGGCTTCAAATTCAGAGAGATACACACATTACTAGACTTACCCTCTGCACTGCTGGAGAGCAGCACCCAGGTTTAGACAAAAGGGAGTCTGTCCACTGGGGTGATCAAGAGAGTCCTGTGGGTATCCTCAGAGGAGCCTCCATGACTACACACTTACATCTACCGGACAGCCGACAAAGGCAGTCCCGGATCGCGGCCCAAAACATCCTATTCAGCGGAACATGCTCCCCCTCCATACCTTTCCTAAAAACCATAAAGGAGGATGGGCACAGATCTGGGCATACAAGTGGGCATCCAGTATGTTGTTTTGTTTGTATTTTTGAGATAAGGTCTCAGGTAGCCCATGCTGGCCTTGAAGTCACTGTGTAACCAAGGAAGACACTGAGGTTTCTGTCCTCTTTGCCGCCACCTCTCAAGCACTGGGATTGCAGGTTAGTATTACTGCGGCACTGTGTGTGCAGTGCCGGGATTGGACCCTATGCATGCTGGGTAAATAGCAACTGAACTATACAGCCCAGGAAGTTTGTAAGTTCGAATGGCTTCCCATGAGGCTGTGCTGCCAATCACCTGTAAGGACAAGCACAAGGCCTGGCCCACATGGCTTTGAAGAATGGTACATGAGCACGTGCATTTGAACAGTGAAGAGATTTCTTTTTCCCTGCTCATTATTTCTGCTGCCTTCCGTATGTCTGTTTTTCAAGACAGGGTTTCTCTGCGTAGCTTTGGAGCCTGGGTTGGAACTCACTCTGTAGACCAGGCTGGCCTGGAACTCACAGAGATCCACCTGCCTCTGCCTCCCGAGTGCTGTGATTAAAGGTGTGCACCACCACCGCCCAGCTTCTGCTGCCTTTCTAAGGGGCCTTCTGTTCTAGGTCAGGAATTAAATTCTCCAGGGCTTTGGGAGGCTATCATTATTGCTAACACTTGGAGATAATGGGCCATGAGATTACAGGACAGGAGGACGGTCATTCCTTTACCAGGTGCCACAGATTAGCTGACCGCTAAGGGTCAAAGAGAAGATGTAAAATTGGCTGCCAGAAGGGGTGTCTATTACCTCATTTTTCTTGATAGCCCTCCCAAGAGAGCTGGCCCTGATTGTTTCTCACCACTGTCCTCTCCACCCCACTCCAGACCACCCACCCATGCATTCTGATTCCTTCAATGTCTGCTGTCCTAGCTCATTAATGCTTAGGCCATATGTGACCTCATCAAGGGCCCGGAGCTTAGGTACCACCCCATCTTTCCCAATGCAGAACCTCTTTATATTCCATTCAGCCTTCCACCCTCCCCATTTTTTGTGTCTTTTTTGGTCTCATGCTCACTTTTTGTACAGTGCCCTGACCCATGGAATCCCATTAGGTTGCACTCTGAAGCAGTGGACTAGAGTCATTGCTAATTCTACTGTACTCCCTTTCTCAGGACCAAGTACATCTTACGACAGTGTCTGTGCTATAGGCATGCACAGGATGCAGGGATGGTGAAGAAAGCTTAGCTGGTTCCCAGGGAGTTCCTCGCACATCCTTCTAAACATTGCCTGGGAGCTATTTGAACTACCTGATCTAACACTCCCTTCCCGCTCGAGCTCTCCAGCCTCCTCTGGGCCTCAGCTGCTTTGGGAGCTTGGAACCATGAGAGGGTCTGTTTCCAGGGTTCCCACAAACCATGTAGAGGAGGAGGCCTGGGGGCGGGGAAGCACAGGTGTATCTGAGGGGTGATTGTGTGGAAGAGGGATTAAATATGTACTGTGAAGATCAATGGAAGCCTTGGGGAGGCAGACTTCAGTTCGATGTAATGAAGGACTTTTTAACAATTAAAGCTCTCTTAAATGAAGTGAGAGCCTTAAAGATAGCCCCCCCCCCCCCCTTCATGGAGTTCAGGCAAGTGTGAGGTCTCACTAGGCAGCATGGCTGACTGGCCAGCAGTATATACACCTGACACTTGGCAATGTGATGGAGTGTACCACTTCTGGAACCAGACTGCCCAGGTTCGAATTCCAGGCCCAAATGTCACTAGCTTTGCAATCAATCTTGGGTATATTTTTCAGCCTTTCTAAAATGCCATTTCTGTGTATGTAATATATATGTGTGTATATACATATATATATATAAAGTTTAAAATATAAGGAATGGGGTATAGTTTATTGAGAGATGAATTATTTTAATTGATGTGCAAGGGACCCTGGGTTTGATCCCCAGGAACACAAAATACAAATTTGTATCTTTTTTTTTTCCAAGGTGAGAGAGCTCTCAGCAGTTAAGAGCTTTCTTCTAAAAGACCCAGATTCTGTTCACACCACCCACATAGCTGTCCCACCACACCACCCACATAGCTGTCCCACGCCCTTCTGTAACTCCAGGTACAGGAGATCATATGCCTTCTTCTTGCCTCCTTGGGGATCCAGACACACTAGTGGTGCATAGACATGTATGCAGCCAAAATAGACATACACACAAAAGATATTAGGAGACTAGAGACATAGCTCAGCTGTTGGGAAAACTTGCAGAAAACCCAGATTTGATTCCCAGAACCCACACAGTGACTCATGGCCATCCAGGATTCCAGTTCCAAGGGATCCAAACGCCTTTCTGGCCTCCACAAGCACCAGACACACATATGGTAAGCATACATGTATGTAGGCAAAGCACTCATGCATAAAATAAAATGCTAAAAATGTTTTAAAAACATATTAGGGCTAGGTGTGGTACACATGCCTTTAATTCCAGTAGTTAGGAAGCAGAGGCAGGCAGGTTCAAAGCCAGCTTTGTCTACAAAGCAAGTTCCAGGTTAGTGAGGCCTACAATCTCGCTCATGTGTATACTGGAATCAGCAAGATAGCTCAGTGGGTAAAGAAAGGCGCTTGCTGCTAAATCTGCCAACTTGAATTGGGTCTCCACCCATGACCCAATGGTAGTCCTCTGACCTCCTCACAAGCACCATTGGGTTCCCACAGGTGTGCACATAAATAAATAATAAATGAATGAATTAATATGCAATAGTAAAACTTAAACCATATTAAACCTTCTGGGGAATTGTGAGGGTTTTTTGTTTTTGTTTTGTTTTGTTTAATGCTTATCAAAAGAACCTAACAGGTTAGAGACTGGGTTCAGCAGTTGTGAGCACTGGTTGCTTTTGCAAAGGGCCAGAGTTTGGTTCCCAGCGTCCATGTAGAGGCTCAAAACTATCTGTAACTACAAGTCTAGGAGGCTCTGGTGCCCTCTTTTGCCTTCCCTGTATTCCTGCATGCATGTGGTGTACATACACATATTCAGGCACACAAATATACACATAAAACATTTATTTTTAAATCATGTTTTTAAAATAATAGGGTGGTTTTTTGTTTTTAGTTTTGGAGGGTTTTGGTTTTGGTTTTTTGGTTTGTTTTCTGGTTTTGTTTTTTTGGAGGGGGCTGTCTTTTTCTGTGTAGTCCTAGCTGCCCTGAAACTTACTCTGTAGACCAGGCTGTCCTTGAATTCACAGAGATTCACCTCCCTCTGCCTCCTGAGTGCTGGGATTAAAGGTGTGTGCCACCACCACCCAGGGTAAGCTGGAGTTTTAGCCTTCAGCTACTCAAAAGCCCTTACTGGTTTATAGAAGTAAATATATATATATATATATATAACATTTATTACTTGCTAAAACATGAAATAGCATTTTTATAACTTATTGGTTTGTTTTTGTTTTCTTTGCTAGGAATAAAACCCAAGGCCTTGAATACACTAGGCACGCACTGTCTCAAAAGCTCCTCGCCCAGCTATAATTAACCCATGGCTGTGTTTTAAGGATGGTCAACCAGAATTTACACACAGGGGAGGCCACAGGGATCAACACAAGGACCACTGACCAGAATGCAGCAGTGGAGCAGGTTAGGCTCTGCCCCCATAATAAATCTTTATTCTGCACACACAAATGAATACAAACTTCAGTGCTGGAATGTTCAAATCTGTGAGGAAACATACTTTAAACTAACACATTTAACTGCACAATGTGGGAGGAGGTAGAAAACAGCAGATTATTAAGCCAACAGATATTTATGAAGCATCTACTAGTGCCAAGGCTCCTGGATACAAGATGGTTTTGATGCAAGTGCTGTGGCCAGGGCTCACCAGGCAGTCAGTACCGGCTTCTGGCCTCTCCTTTGCAAATATGTCACCTCAGGTGAGAAACACCAAGAACAGCCACCTTCACCAGCTTTTCCCCAGGACTCCCAGACACCACCCCCATCCCCGTCCCTGCAAGACCCCGAGCTCAGGACATCATCCTACATGCTGTATCAATCGAGACTGTTGTGCTGCTGAATGAAACGGGCCAGACAGTACTAAAGAGGCAAGCTGAACACTGAGAATATGCTACTGCGACTTGTTTCCATTTCCCATTAGATCAGCCTCTGAGGGGACAGTGATCTTGCCTAGGAGTGAAACCAGGATTTTGGTTTTTCCTATAATTTTTATGCAACACAATTCTTGGTTCCAAGAGACCTATGCCTAAAATGATCCTGGGTGGAATAAATATGGAAGGCCCCAAATATCTTTTCTGCGGGGTATAAAGATTCAGATTTGAAAAAGAAGTCTTTCTCTTCAACAGCTCTCGCAGGCCGTGGCAGCTCATAAACATCCATCTCTGGAGCCTATTGGTTCATCAGGAATATTCGTAGGGAGGGAGGCCCGGCTTTGCTCTGCCCAGTCACTCCTCCAAAGCTGTCACTCTCAGCTGCACACAGAGCATGCTGGTGGCCTTCTGGGGAAGCACAAGCCTCCATCACCTGCCTTCCTAAATTGCCTCTCTAAACCTTTACCAGTAGCAAGTAATGACCTTCCACTGAGCATTTACAGACTGCCAGGTTCATCGTATCCTCTCGCTGGGTCCTCCCAATCCCGGGAGACAGACAGGTGCTAGTGCCGCTTTGCAGAAGACGAAGTAACTTGTTCAGGACACACAGCGGACAAGCTACTAAATATGGGCTTTCAACCACACCTCCCAAAGCATACCTGTAAACAAAGTGCGGGGGAGGGGTTTCCGGTGGCCCACGCTAATCCTGCCTGGGCCATCGTGCCTTCTTTTCATCGGTAAAACAGACCTTTCAAATCGTTGGTGGGAATTTTCCCAGTGTCAGGCCGAGCACCAGGGGAGGTGGCCTACATGCTTCATAGTGATCCAGTCTCCCACAAACACCCTGGACCTGTGATGTCCCCTGGGACAGCTGGCTGGGGGCGCCAGACAGAAGCTCAACCTCACGGAGCTTCCTCTGAGAACACCTGAGTTGACTGGTTCTCTTCACTCTGTGGGGGGGCTTTCTCCAGGCCAGACGCACGTAGGCCCCTAGCTCTTGCTCTTCAAGGCGGGCTAAATTTCACCCCCTTTCTTTCCTTTCACACCTCCCCACCCCCTTCTCATTCAAGGAAAGAGCGGGTTCAAAGTTTGTTCCTTATTGACAGCGGGATCTCAGACCTCTCCGTAACTCGGTCTGCCACACGGGTCAAATCAAAAGTGGCCACTTGCAAGGGCTCTTGCGGATGAAGGTTCAGGGAGTGAGGGGTGAGGGCTTAGCGGGATGTCTCTGGCATGGCGAGCACTAAATAAATGTTAGCAGTTCATAAAAATAGTAAGGATCCGGCCAGCCCCAGACGCTGGACTCGGTCAGCTGGCTCACTCCCAACTGCTCAGCTGGGATTTAAGTCAGGACATCACCATCCCAGGGTGCCAAAACTAAGCATGCAGGACCAATATGGTCTTTAGAACTAGGGCTTTAAAACGGGGCCCATCCCTGGGGCCGGGACGAACTCTGTAAATGGAAGGCGGCTGGGGAGAGGAGGAGTGAAGTTTCACAGGGAGACCAAAGCGCCTTTTGCCGAAGTGAGAAGTCTGTCGCAGTCCTTTGTTTACCTCCGCTCTAGAAGTTCCCTCTGCCTCCGGGGCCGTCTTGCCTCCCCCCCCCCCCTTCAGTAGAAGCTCTTCACAGGTCTGCTGGAGGCCACAGGAGCGGGCGGCAGCCCCTTCCCCAGGGCAGACCCCAGCAGAGACGACCCCTCCTCTCTCTGGGGCTGAGGTCACGCTGGACCTCAGCTAAAGTCCCCCGCCCCCGTTCCCGGGGCCTTCCTGATGAGGTACAGCTGCGAGGGGCCACCTTCGGTGCCTGGCAGGCACCAAGCAGAACAGCTACCCTCACCAGATTCCTAGCAGATCTCCCACGCAGAAGCCACCCCGATAAAAACAGAGGCCGAGGAACGGAACTGTGTGGATTTTAATTTCAGTCCTTTCGATCAGCCGGTTCATTTCACACCTCGCGCTTAAGCGTTCTTACCTGTAAAAAAAAAAAAAAAAAGTTGACCTTTCAGATCCCTTCTGAAAAACAACCCGAGTCAGAGTTCTCCTATTTTTTCTTTTTTTTTTTTGGTTTTTCGAGACAGGGTTTCTCTGTGGCGTTGGAGGCTGTCCTGGAACTCACTTGGTAGTCCAGGCTGGTCTCGAACTCACAGAGATCCGCCTAGCCTCTGCCTCCCGAGTGCTGGGATTAAAGGCGTGCGCCACCAACGCCCGGCCTCCTATTTTTTCTTAACATTTTTTTTTGCACTTACTTTTTTTGTGGGTACGTGTATGGCACGCTTGGCTGTACATGTCACAGCACATGTGTAGAAGTCACAGGACAGTTAGAGAGAATCAGTTTTCTCTGTCTACCAAGTGGGTTCCAGGGATGAAATTCAGGTCACCAGATCCGGTGTCAAACGCTTTTACCTGATGAAGTGGCTCCTCAGTAGCATATTTTCAAATAAGTGAAGGCCATGAGCTTTCTTCACAGGTTTTTCCATTTGAACTGGGCCACAGTAATTCATCGACTCAATCATTTATTGGGCACCCCCTGTGGGCTTGGCACAGCATCCCACAGCAGTCAACGTCCCCAGGATTTAAATAAACTTTTGTGGCTACCAATAAACAGAGTGACTGGTGGGTGAGGCAGGGGATTCAATGCAAGGACAGATTCCTCAACGTATTAATACGAGCTAACTAAGACATAAAGGGCTTCTCTGTTCCCACCCAGGGGCTTCAGCAGTCAACATCCAAATAAAAGCCGCTTTAACCAGCTTGCACTCTCAAAGCCAAAGCTAACACCACACAACAGAGCGCTTCCTGCTCAGTTCGCAAGGTAAAAACCAAGTCAAGGCGGGGCCAAGATTTCCACACATAAAGAAATCTCAAAGCTCCCTCCAGTCCCGCCCCACCCTCTCAGCCACTTTTCAACCTGCCACCTCCCCTAGGGGACAGCACTGGGTCACGCCCCTGCTCCTGCTCAGGTGAACCCATTCTCAAATTAAATCACAATGAGGGGCGGCCAAGCCGTAATGATCTGTGTTTATTTAGTAAATGGGTTGATTGCCCTCATTTGTGGAGATTAAGGGTTAATTTCCCAACTGCAAAGAGAACCGATTTCTCGAAGGGCAACCCCAGATAATTAAGAGGAAAGAAACCAAAATTCAAATGGCTCCCCACTTCCTCCAGCACCACCTCCCTCCTTCCCACCCTATCTTGGCTTTTTTTTGGGGGGGGGAGGGGGAGGCTCCTCTGCCAGGTACTCAAAGCCACTGGTTCTCGGAGTTTTCTGAGCAAGGATTTGGTAAACAAAGGCTTAGGAATTCTTAGTCTCCCTTCAAACTGACATCTGGTGAATCTGAGATCAACAGTTTCTCTCTCTCCCACTCCCCTGGCTTTGAAAAGCAAATGTTTCAAGGTTTGCATTCTCTCCGCCTTTCTGGGAGTTTTTAATCAAGTGGAGTCAAACCACTTTGTCTACACCTTAATTGAAGAGCCTGGCTCTAGAGTTTAAAGTGCTATTTATAAGAACAGGGAGGAGGCGGGGGAAGGAGACTAAGTGGAAAGGGAAGAGAAGTCATGGGCACGAGGCCCTTAAGGGAACACACAGCGCGGCTAGCATGGACTTCCTGAGACAAATCGCACAGGTGGGGTGTCAGTCAGCAGGTGCAGGGAGGAGGCCCATTAGCATCTAGGCTATACACACACAAGAACCTGGGCTGGTGGGAGTCCTTGCTTAGTCCAGAAACCCCCAGACCACAAAGCACAGCTTCCTCTGTGGACCAGCTCCGGGATGACCAGACTGGACCTTAGCCAGCCAAGGGTGTGGAGTTAATCAGGAGGACCCCAGGAGTCTTCGTGGCCATTGAGTATTTTTTTTTCTCCAGTTGAATCCTCTGGAGAGGGAAGAAACATACTGTGCAGTCTCCCGACTGGCAAATTCTGAAGGAGGCAGTTCTCTGACTTAATAGAGTTTTCAAGAAAAGGAAACTAACACTTGCTTTCTGTTTTCTCATCAACTATTTAAAATCCTGACTTCATATTAGACCCTCTTGGGGAGCTTTTACCAGATGTTAAAAAGAGGGAAGCAGGTTTTTAAAAATTCAACGCCTTTACTGCTACCCTTTGAGAACCAACTTTCTTCCTTCAGGCCACTTAATTTAGTTTGTGTCTCCTAAGTCTATGTTCGATTTAGGAGAAACAGCAGTGCTTTTAACCAGGGTTCTCAGGCTCCTGAGATCTTTTGTACCTATCTGTTTCCTGTATATCTGCCTTTTGTAAATCCTACCACTTTCCTACATGCCGAACTTCATATGATTGATAAACTGGACAATTTGATTCAACAAGCAAATGCCCACCTCATGGATGCCAGAGCAGAAAAATAAAATGTAATCTCCAGGCAGGAAGGGAACTGGAGCATTAAAGTGATATACTACACTTGGGGTACTACAGGCCAGGCACACTGTGATCAAACAGGACACCTCAAATATTGAAAGGGAGTTCATCGGTCAGCATGGGTCAAAGACCCTGACTCTCACTCATTTCCCAAGTTCTAGATCTCAGCAGAAGGGAAGGAAGTCATATCTAATGTGTTTATATTGCATACAACAAACTGTTCTGACACCCACAGCCAGATTCAGTGGCTACCACAAGGAGGCAAGGAAGGAAACCTAGTAGATGGTAAGAGCAGCCAAAGACTTGGGGACCTCTCACTTTGGAAGAAGAGCGACTGAAGGACATTAGCAGCCCCTACATCGTGTTGGGGATGGTAGAATGCCTTAACAAATTGATTTCTCCTCACAACCCAGGAGAAAGGTTCTCCTGAGCTTTTAGAGATAATTCACAGTCAATACATTGATTGCAGTCCTATTATATCTTCCTGGTTTGTTCTGTTGTTGTTTCGCTAGTTTCCTGCTTGCTTGTTTTTATACAGGGTCTCGTGTATCCCAGGCTAGCCTTGAGCTTACTCTGCAGCTGGGTATGACCTTGAAGTTCTGATCCTCCTGTCTTTGTCTCCTGAGTACTGAGATTACAGGTACGAGCTACCATGCCAGGCCTTAGGCAGTGCTAGGGAATCTACCCCGGGACTTCATGCGTGCTAGGCAAGCCCTTACCAACTAGTCACATCCCCAGCCCTATTCTCAAGATCTTCATCCAGGCTGTCCTAGCAGCACAAAGGTGTCTGCAGGACTGAAACTGGATACTTAGCTGGGAGTGGATGCTTCTCCTAGGCTCCTAGAGATGATGTGGTGGGAGCGAACCATTCTCCTGGTGATGGTGTGGTGGGAACGGATATTCTCCTATGCCCCTGGTGATGATGCCATCAGCTTTCTGAGGCTGTGGGCCTACCCCAACAGGAGGTCAGAAGAAAGGCAGGTGTTCTGCATTCTCCAGGTCCTGGAATAGGGTTGGTATGGTACCTGGGGAAGGGAGGGCAAAAGAAAGTGTTTGATCCCCAGATTCCCTGTAGCTAGAGTTAGCACAGGTGTAAGCTGGGACTTGAACCCAGGAACTGGTGTTCTTATCTTCTGAGCTATCTCTCCAGCCTCTGGGCTTCTCTTCTTAAAACAGGTGTTTCCAATCCCTTCCTAACCTCCCTCTCACTCCTTCCTTCCCTGCTTTCCCCTTTGCCTTCCTGTCTTTCCTTCTATTGCTCCTGCTGCTACCGTTTAATGGCCCTCCACCTGCCCAGTTGCCTGACAGTCCTTGCCTCCTCCGACTTTCTCCTGCTGCATGCTTTTGCCGTTCCTGTTCACTGTCTGTTTACACTCAGTCTCCCCAAATGAAGGATCTCATCAAGTGGCTACTCTATACCCAGCAGACGCACCTGTTGGGCAGTGGTCTCATGACAGCCCACCCTGTGGCTGGGTCACATCATCTATTCATGGCTCAATCTATGAAGTCAGGGTTTGTTGGTCCAAGGATGGCAGTGTCAGTCTGAGGAAGTGAACTGTGGGAGTAGCAGCTGTTACATTTCAGAATAGCAGCAGAGAACTTGAGCCTCATGAATAAGATCCCAGAAACCAGCATCACATCATACAATCAGTCACTTGTCCAAGCCCCCTCTTCTGTCTCTCCCCCTTCTTGTTTCTGTGTCTTTCTGTCTCTCTCTCTCTCCCCTCCCAGTCTCTCTATCTATCGCTTCCCCGTTCTCTCTCTCTCTCTCTCTCTCTCTCTCTCTCTCTCTCTCTCTCTCTCTCTCTCTCTGTCTCTCTCTCTCTCATGCACACACACACACACACACACACACACACACACTACTCCCTTACAGTTCTCATGTTTCTAGCCTTCATTTCAACATGTAACTAGGCAGAGGGAGGACTCTGTGTGAGACTTAGGACCTTCTGCAGGGTATCAGTGACATGTTCACTGGTTTGGAATAGAAGTCTGGGTCAGAGGTTCCCAAGCTTGACTAACTCAAAAGAATCACCTAGTGAGCTTTTAAAAAAATTAAATCTCCAAGTCCCATGCCTGAAACTCTGACCCAACATATCTGAGGTGGGCTCAGACTTCTGAATCTCCTCTCCCTTCCTTTCTCCACTCCTTTCTCTCCCCTCCCTCCCCTCCTCTCCTCTCTTCTCTCCCATTTTCTCCTTCCATCCCTTTTTCCTCCTTCTTCTTCAGATTATTCTGGTGACCAGTTAGGAATGAGTGCCACTGATCTAACTCCCATCTCCACTCTTCTAGAAGATTCTTTGGGGGCTTTAACCACAGCTACTATTAATATGTTCCCTGTTCTTCTGTTAGTCTCTGCTAGTAGAACCTGCAATCTCTTAGAGGGATAACCTAAAATATTACCAAGTTTCCTGCCGGTCTTAGTAGCCAAGAGTGAAGTTAGATGCCCACTAGGGCAGTTTTGGCAGTGGGAACTAGTTGTCCTTTGGATGGATAGGCTAAGTTGATGTACTCTCCCAAGGGGGCTGAAAAGATGTGAGTGCAACACACAAAGGGCCATCACTAATTTAGGCCTGATAACCCAAGTGCTAACACCCTAAGGCTTCTCTAAATTAACAGCAGGGATTAGCCATTTACACCATGGAGGGCAGTGAAATATACTGTACTGATTTAAGCTTTAGTCTAGGCCTGACTGCTGTAAAAAAGGAACCTCTACCCAGAATCTCCAGGGTTGCTATGAAATTAGACATTGTATTTATAGCATTTGGCACTGTATAAACAAAGGTCATTATATTTTAAATGTGACTATTTGGATGCTCAAAACAATAGGAAGGAAAGTTCTATAAGCCCGTTAGTGTCCTAGAGTAGCTCTTAGGGCTAACTGTATGCATTTTTTTTCAAATCCAAGCTCATTTACAACATATTTATACATTGGAAATTGGGAAAATACAGACTAAGGCTTTTCTCTTAGACAGTCATTATAAACATCCACTAGCATACGGCTGTAAAAAAAATATATGTATATCAACTTCAACAAAGAACCAGAGCCACAAATATGCTGCTACATAGGCCTTTTATTTCATCTAAGGCAGCACATAACCAAACCAGAGGACTGTCCTGATGATTTTCTTGTGCATAGGTCACATGCATTTTACACAAAGCCCCTCTACACCCTGGAGGGAGCTATGGAGGCTAGGTGACTTGCCTGGGGCAGGACAGGAAATCAGTCGGGTGGGGGGACAGAACCAAGTCAGTCCACACTGGTCACCTGCACACTTTTCTCAGACCTCCTCACCACACAGAATGGCAGAGATGCAGATAGCGATGGCCCACAGTGCCGCCACCTCATAACCCAGATGGCCCAAGCCTCCCTTAGATTGTGTCCACAGTGTTCTGTCCTTTGAATGCAGATGTGATCCCCTGGGGTCATCTCACTCTCTGCCCTCAGAATGGCTGAAGGTCTTTCATGAGGTAACTGTCTCAACATTCCTTTTCCCTTTGCCCAAAGATGTGGTTTGGAAAAAGTCCTCCAGAGCAGGGTTCTGTCCTGACTCTAACAGATGCAAGTGGCACTGGAGCCAGCCAATCAACACTGTGTTCTCAGTCTGAGACTTCGGGGTCAGCAGACCAGGACCTGTTTCTCTCCGTGTCCTCATCTTGACCAGCCAAGAAGGACCTGGCCACCAGCATCCCTCCACTCCGATGAGTCTCCTACACCTTACTGCCATCCCCATTGCCTCAAGTGAGGCCAATCTAGGGACTTTTCTCTAATGCATACAACATGGCAAAAATCACAGGTTGTCACTTCAGGATTAGGCTACAGAAAGATGGTGGCTGCCCTCTTAAGTGTCATAGTGTTGGACATTCTTCCTCTCACTTTTCTCTCCTCTCTTCCCTTTGTTCTGAAGGAAGTTTCATGTTTTGAGGGTCCTTAGGAGAGGTATGAATGATGAGAAATTGATGGCTTTGGCCACCACCTGAGGCCTGGCCAGATGCCATGTGAGTTTGAAAGAGGGTCCTTCGATGACATCATGACAAGCACCCTCTTTGCAATGAGAAGATAGACTCCAAGCCATGTCAAGCTAAGTGCACCCAGACTCCTGACACTTAAAAACGGTGAGATACCAAGTATTTGTTATTTCTAAGCTGCTAAACTGGGGGACTACCTGTTGTTATTGACAACAATCAATAACTCATAAAACTCTTGACCAAGGAAGAAAATGTTGGTTCAACAGATTCAGTAGCTGAATCTGCTGTATAATCATCTTTGCCCACACACCAAACATGAGCACCACTACAGTATGGCCTTCCTCTTCTTCAGTTTGGAATCTCTGACTTCCATAACATTTGAAAGTACTTTAAAAATAAAATATTCCCTTTTGGGTGAAAGAACTTCCTCTTCTTCAGTCTGGAATCTCTAATTTCCATAACATTTGAAAGTACTTTAAAGATAAAAAATATTCCCTTTTGGGTGGAGAACAAGCCAACATGCTAATCTAAGATGAGCAAAAGTTGATGGCAAGCTGACAATCGGATATCCCAAATATTCAGTGCTATAATGTCAAAACTGGCAAAAGACAGGCCAGAAAGAGAAGTGTGTGTTCCAAGATGCCCTTTCTGGTCTTTCGTGAACACTTCTTGCAGCCAGAGTTTCATGACAACCACAGGACTGGGCACCACGTGCCATTTTCAGATCTGCCCTGACATCAGAATGCAATTCAACTAGATAAACCTGGGACTTAGCCAAAATAAGTAGCACTTGAGAAGATGGAGCTAATGACTACCACCACTTTCTTTGGGGCCGCATATGACTATGATGTGAAGAAATAAAGGCCTTTGTTATTTTAAAGGGCAGGGACAATTGGAAGTTTTGCAGCAGACAGTTACAAAATTTTCCACCCCTGGATTTCCAAAGAAGATACCAGTAAGAGGCTTTAGGATCTGGGTGTGGGAGGTATTACTTGGAAAGAAAATTAATCCTGGGGAGAATGTAAACCGACACTGCACACTTGCCAGAGAACCCAAACAGACTTGGCTGTTTCCAATGTGAACTTACCTTTTCTGGTCCACTCCTTTATGACACAGCTCCTTAACCCCATAGCATTTTTGTTTTTGTTTGTGTTTTATGACAGCATTTGACATCAGGCAAGCACAGAAAGTTACAACATCGCCCCTCACAAACAGTAGTCTTTTTCTTTCTTTTTATTTGGGGGAGGGTGTTCTTGAACTCACAGATATCCAACTGCCTCTGTCTTCCCAAATTGTGGGATTAAAGGCATTCAACACTAGCACCAGGCACAGTCAATTCTCATTTCCATGAAGTAATTTTGGATCGAGATATTTTTGTTTGATTGATTTGGTCTTTGTAACATGAAGGATTGAATCCAGGGCCTTTCACACACTAGGCAATTGCTCAATACTGAGCTACTGCCCCAAGTTCAGACTGAGTATTGCTGTTGTTGTTTTAAATCATCTTTAAAAACAGTCTCCCCACCCCAATTCCTAAACTCTGCCTTTGCTTCTCTGCTCCTTTTGCACTTATCTGCCTGGGGCAGAGCAAAGGGACTCACGGCTGTGACAGTCCATCTAGGATGGGTTTCCTGCACCTCATGCATAGATCACTTTAAAAATATTGCATTTCCAGGCGGATCTCTGTGAGTTCGAGGCCAGCCTGGTCTACAGAGCGAGTGCCAGGACAGCCTCCAAAACTACACAGAGAAACCCTGTCTCGAAAAAACCAAAAAAAAAAAATATTGCATTTCCTTCTTCTACACTGGCTCACCCACCCCCCTTCCTAAACCATTATTCCCATTGCCTAACATCAGAAGCCGTCTGGGACCATAAGGATGAGCAGCTCAACAGCTAACTGGGTTTGGTTGCATTTGAGGCAGCATTCTGTCCTGTCAGTTTTCATTTTATTTGATGTCAGTGCTTGGTATTCCTCCCTCGATAAGCAGAGATGAATTAGGTCAGTGGCCTGATGAATAAACATGAAACTTTGATTCAAAAAGGGAGGACACCCTGAACCTCATGGGGAGAAAAAAGGACTCCAAGCCCCACCGCCCACACTTTCAATGACAAAGCAAAATAGCTCCCATGCCTTAAACATCTCCCAACAAATATCAACACAGCACAGTGGTAGGTAATAGAGATTTAGAATGTAGAGATTGAAGTCTTGAATAAAGTACATTTTTAAAAAGGAAAATGTTGTCTACTCATGTTTATTGCTTTGAGGTAGACACTCTAAAGGGAAAAAAAATCTGGTATGAAGGGTAAACTGATGCTAAGGGAAGTGGTGATTTCTATTGCAGGCCAGATGAGGGGGTGTCAACTGTCTGACACGCTACCTTGTTCCGAGGGGCATGCTCTTTAGACCCACTAACTGGAGCACCAAAGAACTCTCAAGTGGAAGGAAAGATCTCAGCAAACCTCTGAGATAAAGTAAATAAAAGAAAATTACAAGGAGCCCAAGTCTGCTAGAAAAGGGAATCCAGTTATCTTAGGTTTCAGAATCAGCGTTTTCCTAGATGGAGAAACCGTATCCTGGAGGCAGTGACTCCTGCCAGCATTCAACATTCAAACTGATCAAAAGTCTCTCAAGCATCAGCAACCAACTGAGACAGGCAGAAGGACTCAGCCAGGAATAACGTTTTTTAAAAAGTACGACTGCAGGGACGACAGAGAGATTCAACGATTCAACTTGTCACTTCCCTGCACTGGAATTCATAATATTCATGATATTCCTTGCTGGCCCCTCTGAGAGGGCAGAGGTCCCTTAGTAACTTCCGACCGGTCCCGGGCAGTCAGACAAGGCGCACGAGCACCCAGAGCCTGGAGCAGGGTTAAGATTTGACCGAGAACAAAAGAACGCTTACCAATCAGAAAAAACGCTACCCCAGAAGGAAAATAACCCCTCTTTGTGTCTCGAAAGCCCTTTAATTAGCAAATGCTCTGGTTTCTAACGTGCATTAAAACTTTTCTATGTAGATTCCAAATAGAAAGATCAAAAGCAACGAAGATGGGATTCCCGAAGGCCACACACCGCAGAACGAAGGAGAAACAGGGCAACCGAAGGCGCTCAGTAAATCGTACGGAGAGTTCCGGGGAACGCGGTCTCAGGTTACTTTCATAAGCAATCCCCCAGCGCTGCCTTAGCGTCCTCCAGCCCCACCCCCAGCCTCTCCGGCTCCCTAGGCTCCCGACCGCGCGCGCGGGCGGGCGGGGTGGCTGACTCTTGAGTCGCGAGCACCCCCAGCTCTGGGCCCTCTCCTCTGAGGGTCTGCACTTCCTCCCGCCACAAGTCCCCACCTCGGCCGACTCAGGTTTCTCCTTCCAGGAGGCCCCCTTCTTTGTGACTGGGGGAGGGAGAGGGGATTGTGGCTTCATGTGGTCGTTTGGGGTATGGGGAGAAAAAAGCGATCTTCAGTCGCACCCCCTTCCCGATCCACACTGATGCTAACCAAAAGCCTCCCGCCCTAGCCAGCCAGGCAAGGCTAACGTGACTCTGGGTCACGTCTCTCCGCCCAAGCGCTGCGCTATTCTCAGCTTCTCGCCGAAGCCTTTGGCGAATGCACCCTTCTGCTCAGGAATGTGTGTTTTAGGGTACCCGGAAGAGGAACCAATCTTTCAAGCAAATTCCCTTTCTCGGGCGTTCTTCTCCCCTGAGCAAATTCTGGGTAAAAGTTTCTCCTAACTTTTCTCTCCCAGTCCCCCGCCCCTCCCCTCAGGAATCCGCCCAGAGCGCTTCAGGCACCGCCTTCCTCGTTCCCTCGGCCGCCCCTTCTGACTTCCAACCAATCGGAAGGCGTCTACAGAGAAAACAAAGCGCGCTATTGGGCCTCCGGAGGGCTCGGGACCCGCCCCCGGAGTGGTTTGTGAATGGGGGGAGGGGAGGGGGCGGGGCGGCCCGAAACCCTGCGAGCCCGACGCTTCTTCTAGCCACCAGCGCGGCTCCCAGGCGTTACTCTGCGCTCCTTCCCTGGCGGGCGGCGGCGGACGCGGGGACTCGCCGGCCGGGACTGCGCGGGCTGGAGAGGCCGGGAGCAGGCAGGCCGCGGGTGCAGGAGCGTCGGCGCTTCGGATTCCGCGCAACTGGGTTTCCAGAAAGAACTCGCCCAGTTCTTAGCCTCTGGGCACCGATCGGACTCAAATTGAGAACCAGACGTTTGACTGAAACTTGGGGCCGACCTTGCCCCGGACTGAAGGAGGCTCGAGGTTCGCAGGAGGAGGAGGCGGCAGCCCGCGGGGCCTCGAGGAGAAAAGGCGGAGCTGCACCGCCGAGGCGGCGGCCCGGGCGAGCAGGCAGAGACGCGGGGCTCTGGTCTGGCGGAGGCCCGGACTCGGTGTGGGGGACGTGGGCATCGCCGTGCGCCCGGGTCTCGAGAGACTTGGGCAAACTTTGAAAGGTAACCGGAGACGCTTGTAGTCGGTCGCCGAAGAGAAAGCCTCACCGTTACGTCTCGGCGGGGAGGGTAAGGCGACACCCCACCCCCGATCCCCCAGCCCAGGCCCAGGAGTTTGAGCCCCCGGCGGCCGCGTGAGTGCCACGCGGAGGCGGCTGCGGCGCCCACTCGGCTGGCGGCCTCGCCCCCGCCGTGCAGGCACCCTAGCGCCCTCGGCTCCGCGCCGCCCACGGCCCGGCCCCGGCGCCGGGAGGACTCTCATGCGCCGGGCGCGGCGGCGCCTCCCTGCATCCAAGCCGCTCGTCTTTTTCCTCCAGCTGAGAACGCCACTGCACTCGCGGGCCGCGATGGGGGGCCCCGGCACTGCGGCGTCGCACTCGCCCCTGGGCCTGTGCGCCCTGGTGCTGGCGCTTCTGGGCGCGGTGCCTACAGGCACCCGGGCTCAGCCGTACCACGGCGAGAAGGGCATCTCGGTACCGGACCACGGCTTCTGCCAGCCCATCTCCATCCCGTTGTGCACGGATATCGCCTACAACCAGACCATCCTGCCCAACCTGCTGGGCCACACGAACCAAGAGGACGCCGGTCTCGAGGTGCACCAGTTCTACCCGCTGGTGAAGGTGCAGTGTTCTCCCGAGCTGCGCTTCTTTTTATGCTCCATGTACGCGCCCGTTTGCACGGTGCTCGACCAAGCCATTCCTCCGTGCCGCTCCCTGTGCGAGCGCGCCCGCCAAGGCTGCGAGGCTCTCATGAACAAGTTCGGCTTCCAGTGGCCTGAGCGGCTGCGCTGCGAGAACTTCCCGGTGCACGGCGCCGGCGAGATCTGCGTGGGCCAGAACACGTCCGACGGCTCCGGGGGCGCGGGCGGCAGTCCCACCGCCTACCCTACTGCTCCCTACCTGCCAGACCCGCCTTTCACTGCCATGCCCCCCTCAGATGGCAGAGGCCGGTGGTCTTTCCCCTTCTCGTGCCCGCGCCAGCTCAAAGTGCCCCCTTACCTGGGCTACCGCTTCCTAGGTGAGCGCGACTGCGGTGCCCCGTGTGAGCCCGGCCGTGCTAACGGCCTTATGTACTTTAAAGAGGAGGAGAGGCGTTTCGCCCGCCTCTGGGTAGGTGTGTGGTCGGTGCTGTGCTGCGCCTCGACGCTCTTCACGGTGCTCACCTACCTAGTGGACATGCGGCGCTTCAGCTACCCAGAGCGACCCATCATCTTCCTGTCCGGCTGCTACTTCATGGTGGCTGTGGCGCACGTGGCAGGCTTCCTGCTAGAGGACCGTGCCGTGTGCGTGGAGCGCTTCTCGGACGATGGCTACCGCACGGTGGCGCAGGGCACCAAGAAGGAGGGCTGCACCATCCTCTTCATGGTGCTTTACTTCTTCGGCATGGCCAGCTCCATCTGGTGGGTCATTCTGTCCCTCACTTGGTTCCTGGCAGCTGGCATGAAGTGGGGCCACGAGGCCATCGAGGCCAACTCGCAGTACTTTCATCTGGCTGCATGGGCTGTGCCGGCGGTCAAGACAATCACTATCTTGGCCATGGGCCAGGTGGACGGGGACCTACTCAGTGGAGTGTGCTACGTGGGCCTGTCTAGTGTGGATGCGTTGCGTGGCTTCGTGCTGGCGCCCCTGTTCGTCTACCTCTTCATCGGCACGTCCTTCCTGCTGGCCGGCTTCGTGTCGCTCTTCCGCATCCGCACCATCATGAAGCACGACGGCACCAAGACCGAGAAGCTGGAGAAGCTCATGGTGCGCATCGGCGTCTTCAGCGTGCTCTACACGGTGCCCGCCACCATCGTGCTGGCCTGCTACTTCTACGAGCAGGCCTTCCGCGAGCATTGGGAGCGCACCTGGCTCCTACAGACCTGCAAGAGCTACGCTGTGCCCTGCCCTCCGGGCCACTTCCCGCCCATGAGCCCCGACTTTACAGTCTTCATGATCAAGTACCTGATGACCATGATCGTGGGCATCACTACCGGCTTCTGGATCTGGTCTGGCAAGACCCTGCAGTCATGGCGTCGTTTCTACCACAGACTCAGCCACAGCAGCAAGGGGGAGACTGCGGTATGAGCCCCGGTCCTTCTCCTACCTGTGTCTCTTCTGCCTCCTTGTAGGAGGAGAGGCATCGTAGGGAAAGAACTGCTGGGTGGAGACTTGTTCCTGTAGGCTAACCCCTCCACAGAGCTTTAACGTGGAAGTGAGAAGTCACTTGGAGGTGAGAAGATTTGGGGTTAGAGGTGGTTTTGAGAGGAGGCCTGAGTGGAAAGTCAAAAGGCAGTGCGGATGAAAAGACTTCTGGCTAAGACTGGCAGGATGGTGCTAACTGTGAAAGATAGAGGCCGACTAGGGCCTTGGGGGAAAGGTTGACATCAGCAGAGACTTGGTGAGTTCTTCCCGGCGCCAGAGCTGAGCCAGGGTTGAGCCCAATCCCTGCTGCAAGGCAAGTGGCTGTCCTCACTCCAGTGAGGCCAGGGGAGGGGGAGATAGCGTTCTGTCTGCAGCCTGGGCTTTGTTGGGAAGATGGGGGCCCCCTGTGGTGCCCTTGTCAAGCGTTGGTCAAACCATAATCTCTTTTCACTGTGACCAAACTGGAGCCCAGATGGGTTAATTTCCAGGGTCAGACATTACAGTCCGCCTCCCCGACCCCCTCCCGCCTGTTTTTCCTCCCCTACTCCTGTCAAGTCTAGTGAAATAAGCGTTTGGAAGGCCGGGGAGGCCTGCCTGTTAGAATCCTAATGCGAAGATGAAGACGCGAAAGAAGTCGGTAACGTTTCCGAGAGGAGGCCAAGGAGATGAGTGGTAGGTAGTTCTGCTACGTTTTTCCTTTTTCTTGGGAAGGCAGAAGGCAGAAAGAAAAAGAATGTTTTCTTTGGTTTCATACCCTGAAAAGAAGTGATGACTTGTTGCTTTTCAAAATAGGAATGCATTTCCCCCCTGTCTTTGTTGTAAGAGACAAAGCGGGAAACAAAAGTGTCTCCCTGAGGAAAGGCTTAACTGTGAAGGCAGCAGCTTTTATAGGCAAAGCAGCAGAAATCTGAGGTTTCCCTTGGGTTGTTAATTTGGTTGAGATAAACATTCCTTTTTAAGGAAAAGCTAAGGGCAGTGCGCTTTCGTACCCATTCAGCCAAAGGTTCTGACTTGAATAAAGGAAATGCAAGGAGTTTTGTTATTTGTTTTAAACATATTTAATTCAGAACACATGATCTAACAGGCTCTGGTAAACAGCTTAATGAAATCTCCCTCCATTCCACACCCGCCCCCATAAACCTAAATTTCGGGAGTTTTGTCCCACCTCCTTCCTTCCGATTTGTGTGTGTGTGTGTGTGTGTGTGAGAGAGAGAGAGAGAGAGAGAGAGAGAGAGAGAGAGAGAGAGAGAGAGAGAGAGAGAGAGAGAGAGAGAGAGAGAGAGAGAGAGAGAGAGAGAGAGTGAATGAGAGTGTGTGTGTGAGAGTGTGTGTTTCTGGTTTCTTTTGGTTTTTTTGTTTGTGTCTTTTGGGGTTTTTTGTTGTTTGGGTTTTGTTTTTGTTGTTGTTGTTTCGTTTCGTTTGTTTGTTTGTTTTGATTTTTTAAGACAGTTTCTCTGTATTCCCTCCCTATCCTGGAACTCACTCTGTAGACCAGGCATCAAACTCTGAGATCCCCCTGCCTCTGCCTCCTGAGTGCTGGGTTAAGTGGAATTAAGGGTGTGAACCACCACATCTGGCTGCCCCTATCCAGTCTGAATTCTTCACAATTAAAGAAGAGGCATAATGCTCCACAGAATCAAAACAAAGGGAAAATGAAAGAGTTAATTTTGCCCACAAGTCTGAGAAACACGTGCTGGCCCTTTCTCTGGTCGCCTGAAGAGGTGGTGGGCAGGGATGCCAGTGGAAGAAGAGGAGAGCTTGTGCCCGGTTTGGGAAGTCATTAAAGGAGGGTAAACTTCAAAGTGATTCTGGAGTTCTCTGAAATGTGCCAGAAGACTCAAACTTATTCATCTTAACTCATATACTTTCCCCCAAACAGAAGTCTGCTTCTTTGGAGTAATGGTGTAAAGCTAAGCAGAGCATCATGGGAGCTAACTTTCAGTCCACCTGTCACAGACTGTCCTCCCATCTTGCAGGGCCGCTCAGTTTCTCAGAGCGGTCGTTAAATGCCAATCGGGGTACTGTCGCGAGTACAAATATATATATGTCACATTCAGTTGAATGGAGCTGCTTTTCAAATGATCTTGTGTTTCTGAAACTTTAAAAAAAATTGATCTCAACTGTCAGATTTTTTTTTAACTGCCACTACACAGGTTTGGCATCTTTTGTGTTTTATCTCTTAAGTGCATGTGAAATTTGTAAAATAGAGACAGTGCGGTATGTATATTTTGTAAATCTCCCATTTTTGTAAGAAAATATATATTGTATTTATACATTTTTACTTTGGATTTTTGTTTTGTTTTGCCTTTAAAGATCTACAATGAAGCCCCACTTTATCACATGTACAGGTCACAAATAAATTTTTTAAAAAATAGAAAGCGAATGTTTATTTATTCTTCCTGAGATAGTAAACCAAAGGACAAAACTTTATTGTGGAAAGAAGGTGTGGCATGGGGTATGTCCCCCATAGAAGAGCATGGTGCCATAGGGTTCTGAAAGCTTGACTGTCCTGTGGTTTTGTTCAGTTCTTGTTTTCTGTTTCCTGTTCCCCTCCATGGCCTCATTACCTCTAAGTTCTCATCTTGAGGGCCAGGCCCCTTTTTGGTCTCGTATCAGTATCGTGCGTATCATATTTCACATGGCAATTCATAACTAGCCAAATTACAAAATGAAGTATTAGCAATGAAGATAATGTTATGGTTGGGGGTCAAAGGGGCACAGCATGAAGAAGCTTGAGAACCACTGCTCTAAACCTTTCCAGGGAAGCTCGTATGTCTCTCTGATCTGTAATGTATTAACCTTATGGAGTAAGCCCATGTTTGAAAGAGAACTAGAAAGTATTTTTGGTATTTCTACTTTCCCCTCCTTGGGAATTGTGTGTGTATGTGTCCCCTAATAGACCTTATCTAAGTTATTAATATTTGAAGGCTTTGAATTCAGGGGGTAGGGAAAGTTTGTAGATGCTTCCAGATAAAGAGCAGGGGTCACCTTTGTAGAACACTTAGCTGGAGGCTTCCCTCTACCTTCTAGGTAAACTAAAACAGGCTAAGAGTTCTCTGAGGGGGCAGTGACTCAGCAGCCCGCAGGAATAGACTACTGCCTGACCCTGAGGAGGCCTCAGAAGCCACTGACCCTGAGGTGGCCTCAGAAGCCACTGGCTGTTGTTTCCACTTGGAGAGGCTAACTTTGGAATCCGAAGAGGCTGGGTAGCCCTAGGGAAATTGGTCAAGGCAGCCTCACACTCTGAGTTCTAAGCCTCCAGAGTTTTTTCACTCGCCCCTTGTTTAATGTAGGTGCCAATACCAGATTGTACCCAAGGTAGGCAGTGCTGCTGTGTCTCCCCTCCACAACCGGCTGAAAGTGTCTGTACTTCCAAAGCATAACAGAAACAGTTCTGGGTTTGTTCTAATTAACAGGCGGTGTTTTACAAACGGAAAGAATGAAAACCAGCGACAGGCAGCTCTCTCCAGGAGCCGGACAGCTAGCTAGACACTGGCCCAAACCAGCCTTGTTTGTTTGTTTTGTTTCTTTATGAGTGTCTTGGGTTCTGAGGTCAGTCTAAGGGATGAAGAGTTGGGCTGCAAGGACAGAAAATGTAGTGACTTTGAATGTATTCTTTATCCACTTTGCAGTCATAAAATGGCAACTTTTAGGTAAACCATGTCTTCAACGGGGAATCAGTATGGCCTGTTATGACTGTTTGCCCTCAGAGCAAATGGAAGGACCTTGCTGCTTGTTCTTCTTATTTTTTTCCCTCCCCCCCCCTTGTTGTAAACAACTGAGGCACTTAGATCCTTCCAAGGGAAGCCTTGTGGCTGCTCCTGAGAACATACTCCTCCTGGCTTGTCTTTCAATGCTCCCAGTGACCGAGGAGGCTTGTTCTTAATGAGGGAGCAAACCATCTGTGAAGAGATCACTAACCTGCGCCTGTTAGCAGATGACTCCCGCTTTAGCTTCTTTCACATGAGGATGCCCTGTGAGGTCAAACCTTACCTAGGAAATTTTTCCCTAAAAAGTTGCATTTTAGCAGAAACTATGTGAGGGAGAACATTTGCAAAAGGACACGGATAGAGTAAGAAAACTTTGGCCAGCATTTGGTGTTAGTCCCCAGATATGGAACAAAAACACTGAAAACTCTTCTGCACTTTACAAAACAAAACACAACAAGGCATTGCAACACCTAATCTTGTAAGTGAATGTGTGAGAACTCTTGGCAGGGGGTGGGAGGGTCCTGTTGACATCTTAGTATTAATTTTTAAAATGTACTTAAAATAGTGATATTGGTAATTCTCTTGGTAGGGTTGTCGTAATATAACAGCTGTAGGTTTGAGCCCTGTAATTCCACTCAGAAAATCTCTTCTCACTCTCCCATCTTTAATTTCACTGAAAAGGCAGATGGCTATTTATAGATGGTATATTTTTGTGTATGCATATGTGAACAGTGAATAACAGTCTACGGGGCTCCAGGAAATCCTAGAAGAGACTGAAAACACTCCAGTGCACGCTTAAATAAACAGTTCATAGATGTTGTGCTGGCCAGTTTCTAAGCCAACTTGACATAGGCTGGAGTCATTTGGGAAGAGGGACTGTCAATCAAGAAAATGCCCCCACCAGATTAGCCTGTGGGCAAACTTGTAGGGCATCCTCTTGATTAAGGATTGATGTGGGTGGCCCATGGGGGTTGTGCGTGGTCCTGGGTGGTAAAGCCAGCAGGCTGAGTAAGCCATGAGGAGAAAGCAGTAAACAGCACTCGTCCATGGCTTCTGCATCAGTTCCTGCCTTGGGTGCCTGCCCTGACTTCCCTGGATGATGAACTACAAGCTGTCATGTGAAATAGACCCTTTCCTCCTGAGGACACTCTGGCCCTAGTGTTTTATCACAGCCGCAGATCCCCTAACTAATATACATTCTTTTCTCTTTTTTCCTTATTTCCCTTTCCTCGGTGAGTTAACCTGGTTTCAAAAGGTTCATTCTTAGATTCTTCTTAATAAGTCTTTAAAAAAAAATCTGAACCTATATTCCTCACCCTTCCTAGGAAATTGAACCTAGTTGAATGGTTACCACAACAATGCCCGTTCTTTGGTAAACATATTTCTTACTCTCTTTTGTTATCTTTTGTATGCATGTGGGGGGAAATGAGGGGAGTGAAATATGTTAGCACGGGCGTGTGCACACACATGTGCGTGAAGTGAAGGCCAGAGATTGACGCTGGCCGTCTTCCTCTTTTTCTTCATCTTCTTTGTTGAGACAAGTCTCTCCTCAAACTTCAAGCTCATCAATTCCGTTAGGATGGCTAGGCAGTGAGTCCCAGTGATCTTGTCTCTGTCCCCTCAGTCCTAGAGGTACATTAACACACACCCAGCCTTTACATGGAGACATGTGTGCTTTACATGCGTGTGAAAGTTGCTAACTTAAGTCTTTGTATTTGTGGGGTAAGCAAGCCATCTCCCCAGCCCTCTCTTTGGGGAGATAGATGGATAGATGATAGATAGATGATAGATAGATAGATAGATAGATAGATAGTAGAGAAATTAAATAAATGATAGAGAGAATAGATAGATGATAGATAGGTAGATGTAGAGAAATTAAATGATAGAATAGATAGATAAATGATAGAGAGAATAGATAGATGAATGATAGATGGTAAGTGACAGATAAATAGATGATAGATTAGATAAATGGTAGATGAAGTAGATGATAAGATAGATGTGTGTATGTATGCACACGTATACATTCATGCTGGAATTTTCTCAATATCATAGTTGGGGGTTAGCAAGTTTGACAACAGTAGTTATTTTAGTTTCATTTCAAAAGCACTGATCAACATCCAGTTCAAAGGTACCAGCGGGAGAACAGGTAATGTAAGACAGACAAAGCTCACCTGAAATAGGCCTAGACCCAGTTCAGAGGGAGCTTGTCCCTCAAGGAAGAATGAGCAAATAAAAAGTCATGATGCAGACAAAAGGAGAGAGACTCAAATGACATTTGACCTTTTCTTAAAGGTTCATTATTTGACTTATTCTCATACTTATT